TAACCCTTAGGTCTTAATTTTGAATTTTATTAAAAAAATGTAATTACTTTAATTATATCCTTTTAATATTTTATTTAACATGTTAAGTATAATTAATATTACATACATATGTCAAATGTATATATATTAATATGAATCATACGTTTTATTCATGTACAATAAAATTTTACATGTTTAACTCATTTATTATTTTCTTATCTCAAGTAACCCTGTAGGTTGTTGTAACGTTAATAGTAATATTAGAACCATTCTAATATTGTAAGCAATGAGTGAATCTAGCAATATATCATTGTCAGCTAAGTTACAAAAAGTTATGATTCGACATAACCTATTCATGACTAACTCTTTATGTATTATATACTTTTCTCCTTTACATCTAGAATAGGCACAAGTCCTAGAATAGTCCCACTTTTATACTCCATCTAATGTTTCTTGATATCTAGAGTAGACTAAAATTAAAAGAACAACTTGTGATATCGTATATCAACTTGTTCAAGCATGACCATGCATTTCTAGTCTCACTCAATCAAATGGCATGTGATATATTTCCTATTATATAGGAAGGATAAATTATATCTTGATCATTCACACCTCACTAGATATATAGTGATATGTTCAATATCAGTCTTTATGTTGCAACTAGTTAGGAGAATATTTAACTATATCAAAACATATAACATATATGTTGAGATAGTAATGATCTCAAGTCTGAGGATTATACATATAGTCATTGCCACGAGCAATGTTGTGACCCTCACATAATAATCCAAGACACATGCTCATAACGGGTCAATCTGATATATTTTTCTCTAACCACATACTCATGTATTGATTTTGACATCTCTATGTCAATGAAAACTCATTGTCATCAATCAATCTCATGTTAACCTTAAACATATTATTATTGTCCATGCCCATAATAATACTTGACTAAGGATCTTTAATAATAATCATATTATTATATGAAATTTATTATCTTTCAGTCTATGTTAGACACACAAATACAACTGAAAATAATAGTGGTAATGCCTTTATTCAATAAAACTAGTAAAGAAAAAGTATCATTACAATCATCTCATGATTGGTCTTTGGGAATACTCTAACAACTATGTGACTTGTATACCTTGCATTCAAATTTAATATACATTGGGCTATGAATTGATTGATTATAAAAATTGCAAGTTTGATCGATTCGATTGAAAGTAAATCTTTTATCAAATACATTGATTTGGCATAAAATGCTTTATATCTGAATTATTGATTTTTAGGTCATATTATGAGAAAGTGAATTTGGCAAGTCAGTTTTATGTTAGCATATGTTACTATATGATGTTTTCCTAACCATGATACATCTGATGTTTTACATGATATTTTCTGCACTATGTCTTATACCTTGCTACATATTTGTTTTGATATATTTATATTAAATTTATGAAAATGACTCATTAAGTGTATACTTAGCATGTGATGATATTCACACGTAGGTAAAGGATATCTAACAGAGTAAGAATCTTTAGTCTTTTGGCATCATTTATTGAGCTTTATCTCCCAAGTATCAGTATAACATCTTTTTGGGGTTTTTGATTTTCTAGTGGGCATGTATATTTATGTGTTAGTAATGCTCTAATATGACTATTTTTACACTACTTTGTAATATTTCATATATGATGATTTATCATGAATAATACCTATAATAACTAGTTATAAATAATGGTTTACTAGTTAGTATTCTTGTTAACTAGATTTTAATTTATACCAAGTTAAATTTTAGTTTAATCAGTTTTTAGGTAGTTTTACTTGCTACATGATATGATATTAAAGTGTTACGTTTTTGCTTGAAATTGAGTAAGATTTGAATGTTAAAATATTATCTTTTGGTTTTATGCTATTTAATTATTTATGATTTATTGATTTTTAAAGGAACAAATTTGTACTGATGTTTTAGTATTGCATGTTTTGAAATTCTCATGTGGCATCTTTGACTTGTATTTGGTGACAAATACGAGAATGGAGTGTTACATTTATTGGTATAAGAGCTATATGTTTAGCTAATTCTAGGCCTAAAGTGAGTCTATTTTTGAGTTGAAAAATGTATACATGCCACTAGGATATCATTATTCCTGATCTGGTGTTTATATGATTGATGTTATTCCTTACTAACATAATTTGATGTATAAGTGTATTAGATGTCTAAAATAGAAGGATCTCGACGAGCGACCGAACATGAGGTTCCGAAAAGGACATCTAGTAAAAGTAACAAAGTTAACCCGATAGAGAGGAATTTCATTAGAACCAATCACAAGCGATATAATAGTGACTAATTCTCTAGGCCAGAGTGCAAGGGTGAGTTGTATTTGTAGAAATTGTCCGTTAAAGATTCAAGGAGTTGAGTTTCCACTGAACCTAATAGAATTACCTTCTGAAGAATTTGAGATAATCTTCGGTATGGATTGGTTATCTCCCTAACATGTCATTGTGGATTGTCACTTGAAGCGATTGATTCTAAATAACTTGAAAGGTTTCGAGATCATAGTGGTTGGTGAAAGGGCCAAACCGGCTAATGTAATTTAAAGAGTAATTGATAATAAGTTATTGTTGCAAGGTGCCAAGCCTTCTTAGCTAATGTGGTAGATACTCAAGCTTCAAAGATTAAGTTGGAAGATATTTTAACTTTCTTCGAGCATCTAGATGTATTTCTGGAAGAATTACATGGCTTACTTACATATATAGAGGTAGAATTTAAAATAGAGGTGTTATCAAGTACTACGCCTATATCCATGGCCCCGTATAGAATTTCTCCTACCAAGCTTAGGGAATTAAAAGAAAAATTACAATAGCTTTTAGATTGGGGTTTTATAATATAAAGAGTGTCACCTTGGGGGAGAACCAGCATTATTTCTGAAAAAGAAAGATGGGTCTATGCGATTATGCATAGACTATATCCAGTTGAATAAGGTGACAGTAAAGAATAAGTATCCTCTCCCAAGGATTGTTGAGTTTTTTTATCAGTTAAAAGGTGCATCGATGTTTTCTAAGATTAATCTTCAATTTGAATATCATCAGTTAAAGATGAAGGAAGAAGGTATTCGTAAGATGGCTTTCAGGACACGATATGACAATTATGAGTTGTGGTGATGTCTTCCTAGTTGATGAATGCTCATGCGACTTTTATGGATTTGATTAATCGAGTATTTCAGCATACTTGGATCAATTAGTGGTGATCTTTATTAATGATATTTTTGTTTATTCTAAGACCAAAGAACCTCTCGATGATTGCCTCTCCGTTTACAAAGTTATTAAGGAAAGATGTGCCATTTATTTGGACTCATAAGTGTTAAGAAAGTTTTGAGACGTTAAAGAAGATATTAACTGAAGCCCTTGTGCTAGTACAACCAGAATCCAGAAAGGATTATGTAATCTTTAATGGCGCGTCTTATAATAGTTTGGGACGTGGACTAATGTAAGAAGGAAAAGTTCATGGATTATGCTTCAAGGCAACTTAAGATGCATGAGAGAAATTATACTACTCATGATTTAGAGTTGACAGCAGTCGTATTTGCTCTGAAAATATAGTGTCATTACCTATATGGAAAATGATGTTATACCTACATCGATCATGTAACATCCTAAAAATCGGGTTAGCAGTCCTAATCAATGATTCAATCGATTTATGAGATTTTCGGGAAAAAAGTCATAATCATGAATTTTTTTTAAAAAATAGAAATTTACTTTAGATTATTATAATTGATTTTGATTTGGGTTAATTGGGTGAAAATTTTTAATAAGTTCAAAATGTTGGTAATGCTCAATCCCACATAGTATTGGAAATACTATTGGGAATGGTATTTAAGACTTGGCTTTCCCACTTCCTTGTTGAGTGATAGAGAACAAGGGGGACTCTCGCGCACCGCCGCCGCTGTCCGTCCGTCTCGGCTCGGCTCGGCACGGCACGGTTCGTGGTCGTGGTCGTGGTCGTGGTAATACGTGTCTTCGACACGTCCACGCGGATACTATCTTTTTAGAGAAAATTCTTGAGAAATTTCTCTTTGAAAGAAATAAATGGAAAAATGTGAAAGATTTCAACTGATATTTATAGGCTGCTGAGGACTGTTTAATTTCAAATGATAACAGCTGGTATATGAGAGTTATCAGAAATTAAACAGCTTTTCCTAAATTAAATCAAAAACGTTAAGATGTATCTGGACTGATTTCCAGCTTTGTACAGAGGAGACAAGCTGTTAATATCAAGAGTTACAGGAGTTATTTGATTTAATTCCATGGGTTACATGATATAATTTCGGGAGTTATAACAGCTGAACAATGATGCAATGAACCTGGACTATTTTTGAGTCAGGTTCATCTAGACGTTTCAGCTGTTACAAAAGAAAAGATTTAATCCTGAAATTTTATGGACGATTTTAACCATATTTCTAGCCTATAAATAGAGGGCTATAGTCAGCTTCTCAACTCACTCTCAAACATTCACAATTCACTTACAAAAGTGTTTTCTACAGTGCTCTCTGTGAGTTCTCTCTGAGTGCTTTCCAATCAGAAGAGCAATACCACCAGCAGTCCACTCCAGTTTCGGGTGTACGGAATTCGGAGCGACCGTGTTAACCTCGGGGACGGTCCGCCTACTACAGTGATTACACACATCGGGGCGAATTCGTTTCTAAGGAAGTGGTTTTTACCACGACACGGTTTACGAATTTGTTTTTTTTATTACTGTTTATATTTCCAGTCAGTACTAACGGTGTAGTTTTGCAGTTCATATATCCAACACAAAAGTGTACTTTTAGTGGTTAAAATGGAATAGGATCAAATTATTAAAATTTATGAAACGATTACACCAAGAGTAGATATTGTTTATTATTTTTCTTATTTTTTGGTTTTAATATATTTTTAAAAAATAAAATAATTTCCCTTTTTATTTAATTTAGATATTATCTTTTTCCCTAATGTTTTGGTGCTTATCCAAAATACGTTCATTATTCCGCTTGTTTTCTTCAATGGCTAAAACCTTCATTTCCTTCCTCTCTAACCTTTTTGCTCAACCCATTTCTAAACTTGATTTTCAACCTTTCATTACTTTATTTTACTGTGGATTTCTTTAGCATGGTGGAGTCCTCTTGTTTACTTTCCTTGATGATTTTTATTCTTGTTCAATCAAATTCCAGCAAGGTAAACTTCGTTTTCTTGGTTCCTTTATGCTTCACCGATTAAAAAGATCCTTGAGATGATTTGGGGATTTTCTTGTGTTAAACTAGATGTTAATAATGAGGATAGTATTGGGTTAAACAGTTTTTCAATAAGAATTGGATTTCATATTGAATCATTTGAAATATGCTTAGTTTTAGACGTTTTCAGAAATTCAGGAATTCCTTTGGTTGCTATTATTTTGGACAGTTATTTTATGTTTTAGGAACTGATTTCGGTTTCTTTTGATCAGTTTTTAGGGGAATGAAAGTTGTGTTGAACTTGTGGAAAGTTTCGAGTTCAAGAACGGTAATATTTTGGGTAGTTTCAGCATTCTACGCTATATTTTTGAAACATATTTTTTGCTATGTTTTGGGCACTTAAGGGACATGTTTTATGGTTTCTAAGGTGTTATTTGGGTCTATAATGGAGTAAAATTGGTGCACTATTGTTTGGTGTTTGTTTGGCGTAAGATTCGATCGATTCTATGTGGTAAAACCGATAGAGGTGAGTGGTTGCAGGTTCTTTTATAATGAGCATTGGTGATATTAATTGAAGATTATAATGGTAAGTATTTAGCGAATCTAATAGTAAGTTACTACTCTGTTTTGGCATTCGTTTCATTTATGTAAACATTTTATGACGAAGAATGAGCATGATTGCACATAAGCATGATGTTAACTTGTGATGCGTATATGATTTTGCAAGTTATTTTATAATCTATTATGAATTTAGTTCTGGACAAGAAAAGACACTTTTCTATCCAAGAATGAGTTGAGACAGTTTCATTATTCTATTTGGGTTGATCATGACAAGCATCTTAGTTTGAAAACTATGTTTTGAAAATGCATAAGTATATGTAAATGCTATGCATCACTTGGAAACTATTTATGGTAAACCTGACTTAATTGGCAATTGTTCTTAATAGGCCTTTGGATTTTAAAGGCATGCTTAGGAATAAGTACTCAATGTTTTAAAAATGTGATTGCAAGGGATATGAGGTTTGGTTGGTACATTGAGCTTTGCTCCGAGAAGTACATGAAGTAGGGTTGGTGCGTTGAGCTTCGCTCCGAGATATAGAAGTTGGGACGTAAGTTAGTCCAAATAAAATGAGTTTTATGGAGTCCATTTATCCATAGACATGTTGTGTCTCAAACAAATGCCAATGGTCTTAAATTAATTAATTATGTGTATGTTGTGTGTATGGACTTCCGACAAAGGTAATGGTGCATGTGGGAATGTGTATTGAATTATTGATCAAGACTTTATCAAGAATATTATAACCTGGAAATTAAGTTAAATATCATGTAAAGTGAAATCAAATATAGTGCCTGTTGATAGGTAAGATTTGAACGAGCTTTGGAAAAGAATGCATAACACGTAGGATACTTCCATTGATTTTATTATGAGCATTATATGAGAAGGTATAGGCATTCGATGGGCTTTACTCTTACACCCTGTTGTATAAATTTTTGTAGAGATTTAGTTGTTGGTTCATGGTGTGGAAGCGTTATCCAATGGTGTTCAAATAAGACAGTTTTTTTTAAAAGAATATGTGAACCAAGAGTTGGCTTTGAGGCAATATGGAGATGCTATGCTGGAATTTTGTTTAATTTTGGTGTCATCAAGTTTTGTAAATATTTTGAAAAGGGTTTCGTCTTGAATTACTTGATTCATGTTGTGTTGATGTTTATGAAGTTGGTTATTTGTTAATTATGGTTTCATGATAGGCATAACATTCCAAATGTTGCTATGAACTCTAATAAGTGCTTGAATGGACTAGACAAGTTATTTTGAGTGAACATAATGTGTTAGTGCCTTAGGAAGCATGAAATGAGAGATTTAGTCACTTTTGGTTAGGTGACTTATTAAAAAGTAAGTTGTTTATGCAAATTTTGACTTTTGATGCTAGATTTCTTTATAAAGTGTTTACTGGCATTTTGAAGCATGCTACAAGTGTCTTATGATGTGTATGAAGTGGTTTGAGAATGTTTATGTATGTATCTAGACCCTACTAAAGTTTAAAGGAAAGTTTGGTAATTCATTTATGCATGATCATATGAAATTATGCGGTTTTTCTGAAAAAGGGTCGATCCCTTCAAGAAAAGGATAGGGATCGATCCCAAACCTTATGGATTGAAAAGGATCAATCCCCCATAAAAATGGATTGATTCCTTCGCTATGTATTCACTGAAAAAAATGGGAAAATTCAATTCATTAAAGGTTCTAAGAGTTCCTAAATCTTAATATGACCTTGAATGATTTTGTATGTTCAAAATGGTTCAGAAATTACTTAGTTAATTATTACTAGATTTTAATTTGGAAAATGAAGAGAAATTTTTTGTCTCGTTGTAAATTACTAAATCACATAAGATGAGAGTTGATTTCATGATTGTTGTTCATGTGAGACTTTTGATTAATTACGATTAGTCCCTAAGATTGTAGGTCAGATGAGACCCTCGATTGATGTTTGATCAATGTGAAACTTTGCATGCTTTAAATTAAGGATAGTATATGAATAATAACTAGCCTAAATTCATAAATTATTTTTGGATGTTTTGATTATGAAATGATTATTTTACCTTGATGCTCTAGTAGTGTTTTCTTGAAATGTTCAATGGTTAAATGACGTTAGTTTATTAAATTTTTATTGTTGCCATGAATTGCATATTATATGTTCAATTTTTTTATTGCTTCCGCTTAGCTTGTATGGTTTTATGATTTTGATTTGTCCGACAATTTTGGAACCTAATGTACATTCAGGTATCCGGGTCACCTACATGGTTGGGTATGAGTTGTTACATTTGTTGGTATCAAATCCATGTTATTTAAAAATGTGTATGTATGTTGGGGTATATAATTGGGAACCATATTGCCTCAAATGTTTTAGAAAAATTACATGTTATTATTTTATCACCCGATAAGCTTCTAACCTTAGTTTTGTTTAATTGTATAGCTTTTGTGCTAGTATAGTTCTATATGGCATCGCATCATGCAATATTAGGAGCTTCTGAGGATCGGTGCCCTATTAGATAGTGTCATACGAATTCTTGAACAGATGGGTTGCTCAGATAATGAGAAGTTGGGATGTGTAACATCATTACTTTAGGGTGATACACACCGTTGGTGGCCAATTATTAAGAGAGGGACCGCAACAAACTGATTGACTTAGGTGTTCTTTCAGGAGTCGTTTTGAAGGAAGTTTTTATTTTCTAAGTACACTTAATCTATGAAGAATGAATTTCTTAATCTAGTTCAGGGTAGGATTTCAGTTTCTGAATATGAGGCAGAGTTTGTCAGACTTAGTGAGTATGTTGGTGAGATTGTGCCGGTTGAGGTTGAGCGGTGTAAGGGATTCAAGGATTGGTTGCAGTGTGAGATTCGTGCCTATTTGGTGACTGGTTCTTTTAATGTGTTTGATATTATGGTTCATCAAGTAAGAGATATGGAGAGTACCATAGGTGATCCGAGTTGTGAAGTTTAGGGTAAGAGATCATCTTATGCTTCGAGTTTTTAAAATCGCTCTACAAAAAGGGGTCCTAATTATACTGATCGTGGTAGGAAGGATCGATGTGATTATCGACATAGGCAGACCAACAGAGTTGTTCAGCTAGATACTGACTATGCCAGGCATCCTCAGTGCGCTACTTTTGGCCAGAATCACGGAGGTGAGTGTTGTGTCGTACATGAACTTGTTTTCTGACGTGATCCAAATCAGCAACATAAATGACTTTGCATCTCCAACCTTTCACAATAATCAAAGGGGGATTTTCTTTAAGTTATTCTTTCTTTATACCATAGTTATAATAATAGTTTACATACTTTACATTTATAGTTATGATGATGGTATTATGTAATGTATGAAGTTACTATTATAAACCACATATTTATACATTTATATCTTACATTTCCTAGCTAATAATATGCTTTCTTTTGTAGGTACATATTCGGCCACATGATGGGAGCTAACTTAAAGCTAGCATTGGAGTCCATGAGCTATGGAAACTTGACTAGGACAACTCTAGGACAGCTCAAGAGCATTTTGGGGCAAAGTTTCCAGCTGACCCCCGAGCACATAGCTGACTTGAGCTGGACTTTTGAGCTAGCTAAATATCTCATTTCAGCTGGAGAGTTGCACTATCATCACCACCACACAGAGCACTTCAAATATGGTATAGGTTACTTTTTTGTGAATTCGTACCTTTTCGCGAAGAGTTGTCATTCCAAGAGGTACCTTTTCACAAGGAGCTATCCTAAGACTCACCTACATGTCCTTCATATATGACCAGCTCATCTTCAGCTCAAATACATGGAAATTAGATCAAATGGTGAAAGGTTACTTTCCACAAATGTGACCTTTCATAACAAGTTGCTGCCCCATTGATGACATGTCATTTAGACACATGTTGGATGCCAAGTCATGCCTAACTTGTTGCTTATCTTCACGCCATAAGTATCCTATGCCACCCATGTGAGTGTCTCATGACCAGCCACCCATGTTCTATGCGTGTGGAACAATTGGGCGCCAAAGTGAAGGGGATTCTCCCTATTTCGCCAAAGCAAGGTGTTGCTTCAAAATTGGCGCCAAGATGAACCACAAGGAGACCATTTGGCCAACGACAACTCCCTTCATCAAAGCATCATTTATTTTCAAATTAAGTCATGTATTTTTCCGAAAAGGCATGTATCTATTCGGCCAAATCTTTGCAAGACTATACATAGGCTTTGGCATTCATTTGTAAACTCAACCCTTTTGATAATATAAATCTTTGTGAGATTATTCTCTTCAAGTTCTTTTTAGAACTATATCGATTAAGCAAACTTCTAAAGTTTGTGGCGTCAACCTCTTCCATAGATACTTCGAGTTTCTAGTTTCTATAACTAGTGGGTTCAAGTCCTTACTACCAGCCCTTATAACGACTTATAAGAATTGAGTCTTTGCTCATCTATAGCATTGGTTCATTCTTAGTCTTATAAGATACTATCTAAACCATCACCATCTTTCCTTACTTCACGCCTACAACATCTTCACTTCCATCATCATCCCATCACCATAAACCATCCTTCAATATTCATCAAGGCAAACGTCCATCATCACCATCGGAGTTCGAATTCTATTGCATTTGAAGGACAAATCAACAACACTTTCGCAACCATCATTTGATAACATTTCTATCACTATCATTTCTTCTATTTTCATTTCCATTCTTAATCATCAATTCCTTTAATCATTTCTTTCTTTATATTATGCAGATTACTTATATATTCAAGTGTAGCATTTGGTGTTTCTCTTAGATCAGGAAACAACAAGGCTGCCAACTTCTCCATCATTGAAGAAGCTTGGATAGCCTTACATCATTTTCGTTGTGGTATTGGGGGACATCAGATTCGAGATTATCCGTAGAGATCTGAGGATAGAGTAGTGGTGGCTCCAAAGGGTCACGGAGGTGGTAAAGTTGGCTGTGGCCATCAAGATCATGTTCATGGAAGAGAATGTGGTCAGGGTGCTCCAACTGAGGGTGATGACCTAGGAGAGTTTATACGATTCGTGAGCCAGAAGATTATGCCCCTACTGATGTGATTATCGGTACCTTTTATATTCTTAGCCATTTAGTGGATTGTTTAGATATCCCTATTAGTATAAGTGAAGTTTGAATAGTAGTCAAGTCGTCTTTGCGTGACAGTGCTTTGGTAGATAAAGTTTACCATAGGTTCCTGTTAGACATTCAAGGGAGGTGTTTCCAGCTGATCTTATGGAGTTGTCGTTTCATGGGTTTTATAGTTTCTCATATTTATATTTTAGAAAAGTGATGTCTTTGTAATAAAAGACATGACAAAATTACAATTCCCCATACTTTTGTTTTAATTTAAATGATCAAATTGCATGTAAACCCCTCACTTTTCCCTTTTTAGGTTTTACACTTTTAGGTTTTAGATCTTTTATAATTTGTACTTTATTTTTATTTTGATAGTTAATTTGAAATTTACTTTTTTTCTTTTAATTAACAATTAATTCTTTATTTTATTCATTATTTTTTATTAGAATTAATTTTATATCATTTTATATTATTTGTTATCATTAATCTTAACAATTTGATACTTGATTTTACTTGATATTAATTGTGACTATTTTAATCATGATAATACTAACTTGTTAATTCGAATTATTCTAAATCATATGCTTGTAGTCGTTTCTTATTGTTTAAAAAGAAATCTCATAACATCAATGTACAAGTACCCGCCCGAGTTGAGCTTTTAATTCAAGAAATTAAATAAACTAAATAAATATGTAACAATCATAACTTAGAAATGTATTATAAATCTATGAATAAACCAATAAAACAATAAATAAAAGTTCAAATTTATTAAATCGATATGAATAATTAATATTAATAGCAAGTCTAACTTTCGTACCAAACTTAATATTAAATCAAAAGCAATGATAAAAATGAATATCAATTTAAAATTAAGCATCAAAATTAAAATTAATGATGAATATTAAAATTAATATTATCATGATTCAAATAATCACAATTAATATCAAGTAAAATTAAGTATCAAATTGTTAAGATTAATGATAACAAATAATATAAAATGATATGAAATTAATACTAATAAAAAATAATGAATAAAATAAAGTATTAATTGTTAATTAAAATAAAAAATTTAATTAAAAAAATAAAAATAAAGTACAAATTATGAAATACTTAAAACCTAGAAGTGTACAATATAAACAGGGAAAAGTGAGGGGGTTTACATGCAATTTGACCATTTAAATTAAAACAAAAAGTATGGGGTATTGTAATTTTGCCATGTCTATCAAAACAAAAACATCATTTGTCTAAAATATAAATAGGAGAAACTATGGGGATTTCCATGGAATTTAACCATTCTAAATAAAACAAGAATAGAGGGGTTGGAATGTAATTTTACCTTTCAAAAATTAAAACCTACCTTTTTCGTGCAAACCAATTGAAACACACTGGCGCCGGCTAACCTTTATGCAGAGCTTTTCATGGGCGACGCCTGTGGGTGACTGCTAGGCGACGAAAAACGACAGCGTTGGATTCATAATATAATATTTTTCGGAGAATATTTTGACGAGTTTTTCGGTGAGTTAAGGTCTACGACGGTGATCTAACTTAAATAATTTATAAATACTAATTCTAAACAAATAAATTACTTAAATTATTATTTTTAATAAATTAATTATAAAATAATTATAATTATATTAAAAGTAAAATTAAAATTTAATTAATGACCTTATACTGTTTAATATTTACATAATAATAAAGATAAATTTACTTGTGGTACGTATCGATATTTCGCTTTAGTGGTACGTTACGGTATACGACATGCATGATAGAATTTTCCCTAAAAGCACAAAATGTTTTACACTTTAGTGCATTCATTCAAAAATATATTTTTGTTGTGAATTTATAAGAATTATATCATGGATCATCATTGCTTGACATTTGAACTAATTGTTGATCTAAAACGGTGAAGAAATTTCTTTCACTTAAAGAAGCAAAAGTAAATTATTTATTAAGTAGTATAAATTAAGTAGAAGAACAAGTAAATTTATGATAAAATTATAATTTGAAGCTTCAAAAATAGTAATTTTGTAATTGAATTCTTTTAAAAAACTGTAAAATTTAAATGAAAATGAGATTAAATTATATTTTGACACCTTAAAAGATTTTAACACAACTTTAGTTGCCAAAATTGTTTTAGAGGCTTGTTTCCTGAACTGCTGTGGAAAATGGCAAGGCTTATGAATAAGGGCATTTCTTGATAAAAAGAAAAGGAAAGAAAGCATGGATATTTTCTGACGCATTTCAAATCTTAAGAATACGTTTATGAAAGCCCTAAACCCGCACATCATTGAAATTAACTTATTTGAGCTTAAGCAATAAGGAAATTCTCCGGACCTAACTGGTCAAAGAATGGAGGGTCCTTCAAAAAGCAGCTCTTGCTTCTTCTCTTTGTTTTTTTCTATGTCGTTGGTGTAAAGAAGAGAACATAAGGGGCGGTGGCGCAGTTGGATAGCGCGTAGGTCTCATAGCAATTGAGTTATACCGAGTTCGAGCCTCTCTCACACTCATTTTTTTTTATTATTTTTCTTCTAAGTGATGGTAATGGATGTATGTGCCCATAGGCCATAGGCATCTTCCTTTCCAAGCCATAGAGACCAATTTATGGTTACTATAGTTGGTTATGGTACCAGGCTACCATTTTAACTTCAACTTTGAAATAGTATGACTTTCTTGTTATTTTACATTAGCAGGGTGGAGCTTTTATGTGGATGAAGAAGAGGTGCAAGAGTAATATCGTTCAACATTTATCAATACCATGAGGTAGTATACGGTAGCAGCCAAGATACATCGGCGGGAGGTCTTTGGAGAGATGAACATGGATGTTGAATTTTCGGCTTTATAAAGAGTGTGGAAAACTGATCGATTTCTTTTTGAACTATGGACCATCTATGAAATTATGATTCATGCTTTGTAATACCCCAAATTCTGCATAGTGTCCAAAATGTAAGTTTTGAAAGTTTGGTGGACAAAGTATAAACTTTGGAAAAGTTTAGAGGGCCAAAAATGTAACTTTTATAATTTATATATTTTGGTCCGTAAATGAATAGTTTACTTTGAAATTATTTTTTATGGGAATCCAGATTTTTATACGAGATTTGTATTAAAAACTATAAAACAGTAAAGTTCGATAAAAAATCAGAAGTGGGATTGAATTGGAATTTTATGAAAATTTGAAGGATGATAGAAAAGAGTTAGAAATATTATTTCCATATTTTAGAATTGTGAAATTTGACACAGATTAGTGGAATTAAGGTTGATTTTGCTTGTTAAGCCGAAATTATGAAATTTGATGACTATTTTGTAAATTTAAAAAATGACAAGGTTGAAGTTGAAAAATGAAACATATGAGCTCATGGATGATATAAGGAAGATGACGTAAACAAGATGAGATAATGGATGAACTCACGTTAACGGTAACATTGAAATTATCATGATCCAGTAATGATAACATGGTAATTTCTCATTAAATGATTTATTTATTTATTTAATTAACTATAGCCAAGTGTATTAAGGAGATTAATGAAGAAA